AAAGGGAACCCCCCCTTGGTGCTAAGTGGGGTGCCTATTTTTTTTTTTTTTTTTTTTTTTTTGTCGAACACCTGCCACAACAGGCTACCATTACTGCACAAAACCACTTATTCAATTTATACAGAAAAATCTCTCAACCGTTTTCTGTTGTGCTGCTGATAAAATTAGAAAAATACTAATAGTGTTCTTGTTTCATGGAACTGATGGCAGAAATGCAGAAACCTTCCCCATTTATAGGAACATTTCTAGGATTGTTAGGAACTGCAGTGTTGTGATAGGTCTGCCAAAAAAGACGTAAGGAAAAACCTGAGAGAGCTTTAAGCTCATTCTTCCTTTCACGCTGAAATAAGAATTTCCAAATTTCAGAAAATCCAATCCTGTTACTTAGTTGTACTAAGTAACAGCAGCACTAGGCCAGTACAATTTCACTCAAGTAAAAGTAGCCATTGAAGAAAATGCTCAAAAATGAGTAAAAAGATCTGACTTAGTATTTTATGATGATATAATATACCAGAAAAAAATACAAGTGCAGACTGTTATTTTAAAGATTAAAATGAAAATAAATAAATAACAATTGCACTACAAGAGAAAAATCTCATTTCCAAACCATTTTTGTTTTCCAATTCAAAACTTATGTGAAGTACTTCCAGCGACAATATCTAGTGTTTTCTGTAACGTTTTGAACGACAAAGGCACAATAAGAAGCAGATGGAAAATCAATTTTAAATTCAAAGCTTGTAGGTTTGTATCTCATGCATCTTCTATTAACACATGTTTGTTCTTAATTCGTGAGGTTGATCCCAGTGGGCAGAATATCCAGAAATTGTACTCAAGTAAAAGTAGCAATACTTCATAATATCAATCTGGTAAAAGCATAAAGTACGGTAGAGTAAAACTACTCCTAAAAGTAAATTTCTTTTCTGAGTGTAACTGAGTGGATGTGATTAGTTACTAGTCACTGCTGGTCTTTATCAAACGTGCAGAGGGTCTGATTCAGAAAGATTTGTGTTTCCTTTTGGCAAATTCTATTTGATTTTATTTGATTTGTCAAGAAGATTAATGTTAAAATAAGATTTATTTTATCAAAATCTTTCCATGTAGCTATTTGGGGAGTATAATTTTTTAAAGAAACATTTTCCCAGACTTCATGACCCTTTTTTCTTTGCTCTTACCCTGTGTCGCTGTTCGATCTCAGACAGTTGTGACCGTGTGATTCTGACATCATTTAGCAGGTTCTCGTTGAACACCTCCCAATTTCCTGTGGCGACCATCTCATTCACCTCCTCCTCTGTTACACTCTTTTCCAATATCTCCAGCTGCCGCATAATGAAGTGCTTACAACGATCCTGCTTGGTCAGCAGACCTTCATTATACTGGCGCATCACCTGGAAGTAATTATAGCAAAAGAGAAAATGAGAAAGGAGGGCGGGGGTTGAAGAATGAGAGGGCATTTCACCCCCATCTTTTTTAGCACATACATAATTTATGTTTGATTTTTTTGAGCTTCGTCACACTATGCATTCACTGTGCATCTGCACATGTTGGTGTAGAAAGACAAAAAGTAAGTAATTATATGTGCCTCAGTTCTATCACTGCTGTTTTTACACTCCTAAGTGAGTATGTTTATTATAATATAGATATTTTTATAGAGAGAAAAAAAAGATTTCTTATTCAATCTTTCCATTTTTCCATGTGTTTTATACATTTATGAAGCATATCTTCTATTCATGTGCATTCGTGCAGCTTGAGAATAGAGGCAGCAAAACAAAGTTGTTTCAAGTGTCAAATGCAAAGGGAAGGCTGTCCTTTCCGACCTGCTGAAATCTGCGATGCAGAGCTGCATGCTGGGAGCGTTGTATTCTCACTGCGACAGCATTGGTTCCCAGCTGGTCTTCAGTTCTTTGGGCTTGTTTTGAAAGGCCGTCTAAACGGCGGTGGAGGCTTTCGGCCTGCAGCTTGATGTCTCGTGTTATGCTGCTCTCTTTCTTCATCACGCTGAAGCGACGCATGGTTGCCACCAGGGTCTTCTGCTGCTGACAGAACTTCAGGACCTACAGCGGTAGATGTAACGTTTTAGTAGGAGCCACAAACATAACTTGAAACGAAAACACGTCAGTCCTCAAGTCAGTCCTCCGTGTTAAATATGAGTTAGCAAATATGTAATTGTATCATTTAGAAAATTATAAAATGACAAGAGGAATATCAATAACAAAATGAGTTTTTGTGAAAAGTGGTTGGTGATAATGGTTGGTGGTTATGTTGCAACCACAAGGCTTCTCTTTATTAAATGTTGTAAGAGAGATGAACACAAAGCAGCACATAATTTGGATTTTGAAGGAAGATTAGAAATATTTTTCAAAAGCTTTTATTAATAAACAAAAAGTATAGTATATTTGCATTCACTCCCCTAAATCTAATACCCTTTAAAAAAGCAGTGCAACCAACTACTTTCATAAGTAATAATATCACTTGTCTGTTGTCAGCCTGGCCACTGCTTTTCTACGCATTTCTATTTTATTCTCATCTCCCTTCAGAGCTCCATCTTGGATTTTTCTGGTGAAATTTCAACCTGGCACATGAGTAAAGTGTGAAAGATTGCGTCCATTTTCGAATTGTAGCTCACCTTAATACGATCTTGGTGGCATCTTGGCAATGGTGGTGGAGGAAATGAATGAAGCCATTCACTCCATGTTGAACACGCTTTCAAATATTGAGTCATTATGGACCTAATCCGCTCAGAGTCATTTCCAGTAAGATTCATCAAGCAGGCGGATTACATATGTCATGGCAAAATTTTAGCGATTGGGTAAAATTAGATCCGGTCTTTTAAAACTTCAGCAGAGTCCAGCAAGCAATTGTTTCAGACCTTCTGTACAGCGCAGAAGAAGAAGCTGGTTTTTACCAGGCTGGTGTGTAATTTAATCTCATTATAAATACAACTCTGTGAAAGCCTGAGAGGTTCATTACAGAATATTACTTAATAAATAGCATCCCTAAAAACCAAGCAACACATTAATAGAGGAGAAAGCTTCAGCAGGTTTAGGCTACAAAACAGTATTTCAAGCTTTCGACATTTATCAATCAGTTCTGCGGAGAAAGCGTGCGACGACAGGAAACGTACTGTTTGGAGTTTGCCACAAATTTTGTAGCAGAAAAAGTAAACTTGTGGCTAAAGATGAACTTGAGACTGTTACAAAATGAACATTTAGTCCCACGTGCAAAACACTATTCATGGTGGAAAAGCAACGCTATATATAACCCAGAACATTCCATTCCCAGATTAAAATTCGATGGTGATGTAGAGTGGGTTTTCTTTAGCAAGGACGTAGGGATTATGGATTAAATGGGAATCCTGGAAGAAAACCACATAGAAGACAAGGCTGGAGTGGAGGTCTAACACTGCAATAACACAAAATCTTATGTTTTGTTTCATTTCTAGTTCAAATATTTTATTAGCCTTGGATTAAAAAAAATCTCACTCACAAGTAACTTGCACATTGGTAAAAATTGCTACTTCTACTGGCAGATTATTTCACTTAAACATAGGAAAATTGTCTTGTTTCAAGAGAAAATGTCTGCGACTGAAACTAATAGCTTTTATCAATATACAATAATTAATTACTTAAACGAACTCCTCTGTATTGATGAAAAGTTACTTTTAAATTAGTGCTGTTGTATTCAAGTCTATTGAGATATTTGCACAAGAAACTCGATAAAAACACTTGGTACAATTTTGTGTGTTTTGAAGTGAACATGTCAAGGACAATGGAAGACAAAGTTAAAATGGAGTGGTTTAAAACAATGTGTCGTAATAACCGAATGGTCACATCCCAGACCTGAATTCATTTTAGAATCTGTGGCAATACTTCAGAATTGATCCTTACAGACGCCCCACAGCCCGTCAGACTGTGCTTGAGCTGTTGTGCTAGGAAATAATTGGCAATTCCATCTGTACATGTGCAAAGCTGGCACAGTCATAACCCTTTCACCTCCAGAAGAAATGTGTGGAAAGTTGATGCAACATTCACAAGGCATGAATACTTTAGCCTGACTCTGTCATTTTTTCCCCACCTAACCTCTGTTTCAAGCGTGGAGATGTCATCTCTGATTTGCTGAGCCTCGGAGAGGAAATTCTGAATGACTGGTTCCTCCTCAAACACCACGGCCTGCTGTGTAATGGTCCCGGCTTCCACAGATTCATCATCATCATCACCCTCCTCTGAGAAAGGGTTGGCTGTTGTCCCTGACAACTCCTGAGCTGTCTGATGCAGCTCCTCCAACCGATCTCTCATTGTGGAAACCCCCTCTCTTCAACACTACGACGTCTTTGAAGACACTGAAATCGGCAGTGCTGATGGGATGATTCTGAAAAGGAGGAACAAACTTGTGAGGTTCATCATGACACACACCTGTCCGTGTCTCGTAATAACTGGAAGAAATACATTGAAAAGTTGTTGAAAATTTCAGCCACCACTGATATAAAAATTATATTCAGGTGGTTTATAGTTGCAGATCCTTCACCGAAACATGTCACTTGTTTAAGATCCTTTTCAATGTTGTACTCATGTTCTTCTTCAAGAAAACATCATTTTCTGATTGCTGGAAGTCAGAGTTGCATTGAGGTCTAAAATGCTTGTGTTTTGCAAGAGACTTCAGCACATTAATCAATACAATTAACATAAGGATGCATGTGTGAGAAAATGTTTATCTCAATTAATTTATTGAAATGTATCACTACCCAGATGAGATAAGATGGTTAAGTAAATGGATACAATGGTAGTTTAATAAGTATGAAATGAAAGAAGGCGGAAAAGAAATGAATTATGTGAACAAGAAACAGCAAAGGGACGAAAAGACACAGAGGAAAATCACATTTTAAGTTTAAATACTTGATTCTGAAAAAAATAATAATAATAAAGTAAAAAAATGTCATCCAAAATTATATGGTGGATAATAAGTTGGTGTTAAAATCAAATGTTAAGTAAAGGATTGGTGGCTTGCACACCACTTTTATAAGCTTCAATTTTGATGAGGTGCTCCGGTCAGGTCCCACCGGGTGGAGACCCAGAGGAAGACCCAGGACACGCTGGAGGGACTGTGTCTCTGAACTGGCCTGGGAACGCCCTGGGATTCCCCCTTAAGGAGCTGACCCAAGAGGAAGAGGAGAGGGAAGTCTGCTGCCCCCAACATCCGAAGATAATGGATGTACGGGTGGAAGGTGCTGAATTTGAATAGTACAAAAACATGCATATACATCTGTTTTTTATTATTATTATTTTAGGAATCTAGCTAGAACTTAAAACTTTTGTCATAAAACTTTTGTCATTCCTCACTAAAATAGCATGCTTTAGCTAAATAAAACCAGCATGATGAGGGGGAAAAGGACTACGTTTATCTGCTTGTTTATCTACAGCATCAGTCAGAACGACTGGAGAAGATTTACCCATGAGAACTGAGTCACTTGACTTTATCAGCAAAGCCAACAAAAACAAGCTTGGGAGGAGCTTTACTTCAGTTTTCTTTTTTCTTTCTAAGGAAAGAAGTGTACCGCAAATGAAGTGTGTGCAAATTACATTTAATAAAAAAATATATAACAACAATATCTGTACCCACATAAACTAAACTATGAATATTATTATATTACTAGTAAAATAAATGCGTAGAGTAACTCTAACCCCAGCAATTTTTAAGTGGGTATTTTAATATGCTTATTGTGGCAGTTCTAAAGCAGGATGCAGTACAGAAAGAAAGCATGAAACCCAGAATCTAATTTGTTCTAAGTCACTTACGCTTGGCAACTATTTGTCTTGCATTAAAACAGCATGCCAAACATTCTGAACTGCCCTCGTACCACACGGATTTGTACCTTAGAGGTCAGGCCGTAATCTTTGGTGAGCATGTGATCGTGTTGTGGGAACAGAGGGTTTGGATGTTAGGAAATGAAGCATTGCTAATCACAGACTAACCTATTTCTCTGTAGTTTCTAAAAGCACAACTTTGTGTGTACATGTTTCAACAAATATAAAAGTCTTATACCTCAGAAATGAGTATCCTCTGTGCTGAACTCCTCATTTTGCCCTCTATTTTCCTCCCTACCTGTTCCACACAGAGGAGCTGATTAAAAAATTGCTGGAAGGATTTAGGAGCACATTCTGCAGTGTTTAGCCTAAAAACCCGAAAGAAAGTGGAACACGGTTCAAGGAGTTCAACTTCTCTCTCTTTCTCTCTCTCTCTCTTTCTTTGTTCCATAAAAAAGCAAATAGTTTTTTCCTTCCATACATCTGCTCCTTTGTCTATGTTTCTGACGGAAGCCTTTTGTTGATATTCTCCTATTTCCATGCTGGTATTATCGGAGAACTGTGCGTTGTTCATTTGTTCTCTGTCTTTGTAGTTCAACACATTATGTCATATTCTTGTTTCGGTGCTCCAAATTCCCAGGCAAGCAGTTGAGCTTCTGTTGCAAATATTTTCTTTGACTGAATACTCCAAGTAGGAAATTCCAAATAATGGAGAGAAACCAGCACAAATACATAACATCCATAGGTTTGACCGTACATACACATTACACCTGCTTTAAATCATAATTTCTAAGAAAACAGTTAAATGGAAGTTAAAATGCATGAATATAAGTTGAATTCTGAATTTTATACTTTACCTCAGTGTTTCATCAGGGATTTTCTGGTGAAGAGTCCTACTTAGACATTCAGTGGAATCAGTTATTGTAACTCCATGATCTCCTGTTGATCCTTAGAAGCTGTACGTAGGTAATTTTAACGCTTAGCAACAGTTATACCAAAAGCTGTTTCACAGAAAAAGTTGCACTCAAAGCTCCAAGAGTTTTAAGGAAGTCTGATGAAGCCAGTTTCAAGCACCACCCCTTCTCCAGAAAGGAAAAAAAAAAAAAAACACACCTTGCAGACGGCCAATAAGAAGGCAGCAGTCTGAAGGCCTGTTTACTTACACAAAGAAATGAGAGGTGACGCGATTAAGTAAATGAGGAGGCAGGGGTGGCATAGTGAATTCATAAACCCTGCCCCAAGGCTAATTCTTGAAGAGGAAAATAGAGCAGAGCAAATAGAAGCGTATTGTGTACACAGCTAATGCCAAACAATAGGAATTGTGGTTTGGGTGTCAACCTTAGCATTAGGTTCCTGATCTGCTGAGTTAATTTTACGTGAAGTGGCTGAATTCCCAGCTTAAATCTCTGTTGATCTAAGAGTGTTAGACCCCAGAATATCTGCTGAGCATTTTTGATAAATTTCTACTGACAGGCCCCATATATCCAGGAATGCTTTCAACACGGGAAGGGAGCGTTTCACTCAGAACAATGCAGTAAAGTGGTTTGCTCTTTCCTGCTCTGTGAAAGTTCTTTTTTTTTTTAGTTTATTAGAGAAATTGAGCACATACAAAAAGAGGTTTCTACAGCAATTTTACTAGAAACAATTTAATTAGGTTTTGAAGAGATTTGGTTGAAAATAAGAATATAAAAATTGTAGATATCCGTTCCATGTTTATATATGCTGATTGTAGGTTGTTACCCTAGTTCTTTGGCAAAAATATTGTTTCCCATATTAGCTTCTGGTGTCACAGTATTGTCCTAATGTCTAATTCTCTTTTTGTCTCTTTATGTCTTTGTCTATCAGTAGGTTCTCAACACCATGGTGCTTGTCTGATTTAGGGCAAAACACTTTCCTCGACACCAACAAAGAAAAAAACTTCCCCCACACATCTCAACATTTGTCAGCCGACATGAAACAAGCTGGACAAAACCAGCCTTGTTGCTTGTTCTACTGACACCACGGAAAGGCTGATTTGTAACTTATGTAACACTGAAGCATCCATCACAATTTTCGCAGATTATACTTTAGTTGCATAGGACAAAAAAATAAAAATAAAATAAAATAAATAATAATAGTTAGGAGAGATCATGTAACCCAAATTATTCCTAAGAGGAAGATGTGCTTTTCACAATAAAGGTAAACTGCTTGTACTGATTATACCGAGTTACTTTCAACCTTATCACAATGGAAACAAGCATTCAGTGCAGAAGGTGAGCCTGTGTTCTGTGGATGATTAGTAACTCATCATTTGGCTCTGATTATTTTCTCTCTATCGCTGCTGAGCGATTAACCTCACAAACCTTTGGGAAAACATGATCCCATCTTGAAATCTCTTAATTGGTTCTAGTCTATTCAAAATGTGATTGAACTAAAAGCTAAGTGTCTGTGTGCCACCATGATGCCTGCATACTGATTGGGAAATGATATTCAAAACAAGTTTGCATAGCTGCCTTTACTGATATGGAAATATTTTTTTAAATATTCCAAAATATTAGAAACACATTAGAGCATGTGATGTACATATGTCTTAAGAATTATTTTTACGTCATAATAATTAATTTAATTAATTAGTTGTGCTTCTTTTTGCTTTGTTCTAATAAGACAGCATCATTCTTTCAGTACAATCTGTAGAATTTAGTCTCCTATGCATGAAGCTCTACATATAGTGACAGACAACTAAACTTTGAGCATTGAAATAGTTTCATGATGACTCAGACATAAAAGTAAAGTTGTCTTCATCTTCATTGACATGTTTTTTAACAATATTTCCAGAACTAATTGCGAAAAAACAAAGCTTCTCTGAGGCTCAACGAAGGTGGATGGAAACAAACTCTACTCTGTCCTTTCATGCATGTTTTCCACAAACAAATGACTGGCCTGACCTATGACCTTCCCGTGTGATCATAAACATCCAAAAATAAAAAAAAATGCTGCCCTTTAAAGTCATAGTGAACCTGATCATCTGCTGTTTCTAAATGTTTCACCATGAGTGCTATGATAAATGGGTTACATCACAAGCACAAACCCCACAAATTACCTGAATAAAAATTGATTACCGGTAAATAAACTTGATTGGAAATGGTGGCATACTAGATTTTTAGAGAGCTAGGCTTCACATATAATGTGTGCTAAACCTAAACCCATAAACATCTAACTGAAATGTACCATGAATGTGCATAAACCAGCTTTGGCTAGTCATATATAATGTGATGTACAAAGACTAATCACTGTAAATACTTGCAGAAAAAATGCATTTATATCACATAAGAAAAAGTTATTTGAAAAAAAAAATGCTATAATCAGAAAAGGAAACACATCACTTTAAAACATGTCCCCCAAAACGAGATAACTGTTTTCAAACAGTAATGGCTTCATCTCCACAGTGGAGGAAAAGCGGGGGCTGCAGTTTAGGCATTGTGACACAGAATAAATGTGAGGTCTGCTGAAAGGAAATAACTATTTATGAGAAAGTATTAAAAAGGCAAAAGAGTACAATAAACAGAAAGAATTTCAAGATGAACATGTCGCCATTCGTAAACCTAATTGTGGAAGAACATGATCTGAAAAGCATTAAAGTGCAATATCTCCCTGGTGTTTTATCTCAAATACACTCAATTCTGCAGAGCATGTCGGGATGTCTCAGTCACTGTATCAAGTAGAGTTTGCTGGAGAGCTCTCTTGGTATTTCTATAACAGAGGGGATGTCAGAAGCAGAGCTTTGATACTCTTCATTGAAAGGAAACGAGAGAAAGAAAGAGAGAACTAGAGAGAAATGGAGGGATAGAAAAACTCCCAAACAACCTTTCAGCTTCATCCTTGAATGAGAGAGAAAGAAGACATGCAGCATCTGTGAATGTCGCGTTAATAAAACGGTACATGAGGTATTAAAAGTTTATGCTATTACCAAAATACTTTTCACTTGATGTCAGCTACATATGGCTATAATCATTGCTTTTGCAATGAAAAAACACATTAAGTTGTCCAATAGCAGAAGTGGCATTGCCATGGTGTACACTTCAATTATGTGGAGTCACAGAGAGACCTCCATCATGCCATGTACAGATGACATAGCAGGGCAATATCCGACTTTTCAAAGAAGACCAGCGTGAGGCTGATATATGGGTCACACACCAGGAGAATTAAAAAAGAAAAAAAGAGAGATAAATGAGTAAGGGGAACGGGATGGTCAGGGGGGCAAGGATAATGAGGTCAAAACCATTGTCATTAAGCCTAAGATTGATACCAGGGTTGGTGCCTTTGACTACTAAAATGACATTCGGTGACCTGAAAATTACATGCTCCCCTTGGTAGGTGAAGAACTTTTTGCCTTCGGTCATTTTGGTTTTAATTTCCATATGAGCGTATTGTAGGTTTAGTTCCATTTTTAATTACATAGGATATATCAGTGTAAAGTTTAATCCTAAATCACCAACGTCACATCACAATCACAATAAAAACTTTCCTGCTATCGTTTTTTTAAAATTCAGCTCTGGAACTATTTGTTGCATTTTGATTTATTGTCTCATTCTGTACCTATAGTACGTTGCCACTTCCATTTCAGAAATGTTTACCCATTGCATTATCACCAACATCGAGGAACATTTCAAATAGGGTTGGAACTAGATGATCACAAGAGTGCTCAGATCTCAAGTGTAATTTATCTTCATTGCTTATTATGTTCTGAACATTTCTAAAATACACTTTATTTCCATAAAACATGGTTCCAAAGCCCCATGTGTAACAATCTGCTTTCATAAAATATTATGGACTATGAAGATTTATTTTATTATAGAAAAGCATGTAGAAAGTTATTTATATCCTTCTTGACTATCAATGGAAACATCCTTACTGGCATTGCAGCAAACCCCATAATTGCAGGTCAATTTTTTTTTATATCTTTTCAGTGATGTTTTGAGAAATCACTTTAAATCTTGTAATTCTTCAACCATAAAAAGTTGGAGAAACAACCAAAACTAAGTTCAAAAAGGCAAAGGGTTGAAATAATGAATACCCAACAATTCATCAATATTAACTCCAGTGACCTTTTCTAACTTTGCATTTTGAAGAGTTGAAAATTTAAGTTAACCAGAAGAAAAGATTTGAGATGAAGGGTTAGAATTTTGAGTATTTTTGAAAAAGCAGATTTTTCAAAAATATTTATTTTTGAAAAATGAATATTTATCATCACTTTTCAGCAATGATAATTAAAATGAAACAAAAAGCCTTAAAGCTAATGAAAGACCTTTTTTTTTTCTTATCATACCATACAAATGGTATTCCATCTGTATTGTGTGAAGACTGACTTTTACCTATTTAACATTTATCATCTATTTTACTAAATGGGTGGTAAATGGTAACTGAATATAATTAACATTACTTACAAAGTTGATTCTTTAATTCTTTTCATCAATTGTCTAATTTTGACTTTATTCCTTTTTTAGCATTTTTAATGTCTGGAAGACATACAAAAGGAACAGATTATCCTTATCATAAAACAATCCAGGTAAATTTAGCAGTGCATCCCAGAATTGTTACTGTGTTCTGAAGGACAACTATACAACAACAGACTGAGATAAATATTAAAAGCTGGCTGGTGAGGTTTGTGGTCACCCAAATAGATCAGTAAGCATATTTAGCCTGGACAAACACACGGAACAGGTCAGAGAAGTGTTGGCGTGTGTGTGCGTGTGGGTGTGCGTGTGGGTGTGCGTGTGTGTGTTTGATTGGGGGGAGTCTTCTATAATACTGTATCTTTGTTTGAACAAGATGGGACTGTACTGAAATAATACAGCAAACATCAGGAATCGCCTCATCTGTAAATAAATGTTCATCTGCCTGGCTCTGGTGGGAATGAGCCTCGATTAAGTCCAGATCAGGTTTGTGTAGAATGTTGTCCTCTGACTATCATAACTTGTGTACAATGTGACTAAATTTGCACATTGCTTTGGGAAATCTGATGAGGTGGTTGGAGCATTATTTGAGACAAAAGAGGAAAAAATGAGATCAAGTTTTTTTTTCTCTCCGTTTTCAATGTATT